AATAAACAACAGCTTAGGTTGACATATTTGGGAAATTTGTATTTTATTTTGAAAGTGTTACTTCCTGTAAAGTCTTGACCTAAGTAAAAAAGAAAAGGATAGACTGAGAAGGAATACAGAAGCAATCATTTGACCCTGCTAGCCATGTATTACTAGAAATACAATGGAAAAGATGTAGAAAAATAATTTATTTTTTGTTTTATTGCTTATTGACATTTTTTTAGATAAAAGATTTTTGTTAAGTTAAAAAAATACTATGTAAAATAATAAAAAAACAAACCAAAACCAAACTAGAAGCACTCGGAGAGTGCAAACCTCCGCCAAGACCAGTTTCCCCCCATCCTGTAATAGAGTTACAAAGGGGCACACCGATACTACAGTGCCACCTGCTGGACACTTTGAAACCCACGCCCTGTGAAAGCATCACAGCTTTGCCATCTCAGAGTGTTAAAAGAAAAAAATTCCTGTATCCGCATCGTGATCCGGAACATCACCAAAATTTAAAGGTGTATTCCTTGGCCCAGTACACACATGTGGTAAAAATGTCATGACAATCTGTCCACAAGTTTGTGAGTAATGTTGTCCACAGACAGACAGACAGACAGACAGACAGACAGACAGACAGACAGACAGACAGAACGACAGACATACGTGACAGAAAACATTACCTCACCCTTAGCGGAGTTAAAAATACAAATCAAAATAAAATGAAAGGTAACAGAAGAATAAATCTTATTTTGTCTGCCCCTTTTTGACCCAGAATATATTCAAACGAAACATAAATTACAAAACTATAATAATAACATAAAAAACAATAAAATAAAAATATATAAATAATTTAGGTAGACCCGTCAGCTTTGATTGCATTAATTGTAATTTAATTCAACAGATTTCATCCACGAGCATCAAAAGAAAAGCTATAAATAAACTGACTCGACACAAATTTGAATATAAATTCAATCTGCTGCCTTTAAAAAGCACAGAACAGCTTGTTCACAACAAATCTAATTGTGTAGCTTGTAATAAAACAAAATTAGTTATTGTGAGGTGCGCAGCTGTACAGTTAAAGACAAACAGATGACACAGAAAGCGTCTGCAGCACACGCTGACTTTAAACAGATACTTTAGTTTCTTGTGGCCGAAACAGAAAAAAAGGGAAAAATTCAGCTTTTAGTTCAGTTCAGTTAAAAGCTGATACTTTTCTTCACTGGTCCACAAAGCACAGCAGGGTTTTATTTAATGATCATTTGGACACGTTAAAAATATATATATTAAAAATATTTGCCATTTCACTTTGCAAACAACTCAAATGAATTTAAAGCAGTTTAATTTACTTATTGATGCTCAGATGAATTATTTTCAGTCGCAGGTAAAAACAAATGCTTTTTAAATCACTTCCACAGTATGAGTCAACAAAAAAATAATAGAATAGAATAGAATAGAATAGAATAGAATAGAAACAGCCTTTTTATTGTCTCATGGAGGGGAAATTCAGGTGTAACAGCTGAAGCAGATCTACAGAACAGTAAATTGCTTTGTGACATTATCAACTGTAGCGTCAATAATAGAATTAAAGTAATAATAATATAAATTTAAAATAGAATGAAATAAGAATTACTGTACAAGAATATAAAGATGAAAAAAGATAAAAATAAAAGCAAGATACCGTGCAGAAAAGAAAAAAATACAAGAAAATCGACACAAAATTCACCTGAACTGAACTGAGAGATCTACCT